TACTTCCAAAAAGAATAATCTGTGACTGTGAACGGCAGTATCCACACCGGCGGCGACTCACAGACACACACTCTCCTCAAACACTGTGTTCATCCGCGCTGTGCCGCGCCGAAGCACAACTCACGTAAAGTTGATAATTCCGCGAATAACTGCAATTGCAGATTTCGAACAGAGATGGCGACAAAGAGGAACAAATACACTCACCGGCCACTTTATTAGGTACCCCATGCTAGTAACGGGTTGGACCCCCTTTTGCCTTCAGAACTGCCTCAATTCTTCGTGGCATAGATTCAACAAGGTGCTGGAAGCATTCCTCAGGGAGTTTGGTCCATATTGACATGATGGCATCACACAGTTGCCGCAGATTTGTCGGCTGCACATCCATGATGCGAATCTCCCGTTCCACCACATCCCAAAGATGCTCTATTGGGTTGAGATCTGGTGACTGTGGAGGCCATTTTAGTACAGTGAACTCATTGTCATGTTCAAGAAACCAATTTGAAATGATTAGAGCTTTGTGACATGGTGGAAGTAGCCATCAGAGGATGGGTACATGGTGGCCATAAAGGGATGGACATGGTCAGAAACAATGCTCAGGTAGGCCGTGGCATTTAAACAATGCCCAATTGGCACTAAGGGGCCTAAAGTGTGCCAGGAAAACATCCCCCACACCATTACACCACCACCACCAGCCTGCACAGTGGTAACAAGGCATGATGGTTCCATGTTCTCATTCTGTTTACGCCAAATTCTGACTCTAACATCTGAATGTCTCAACAGAAATCGAGACTCATCAGACCAGGCAACATTTTTCCAGTCTTCAACTGTTCAATTTTGGTGAGCTCTTGCAAATTGTAGCCTCTTTTTCCTATTTGTAGTGGAGATGAGTGGTACCCGGTGGAGTCTTCTGCTGTTGTAGCCCATCCGCCTCAAGGTTGTGCGTGTTGTGGCTTCACAAATGCTTTGCTGCATACCTCGGTTGTAACGAGTGGTTATTTCAGTCACTGTTGCCCTTCTATCAGCTCGAACCAGTCTGGCCATTCTCCTCTGACCTCTGGCATCAACAAGGCATTTCCGCCCACAGAACTGCCGCTCACTGGATGTTTTTTCTTTTTCGGACCATTCTCTGTAAACCCTAGAGATGGTTGTGCGTGAAAATCCCAGTAGATTAGCAGTTTCTGAAATACTCAGACCAGCCCTTCTGGCACCAACAATCATGCCACGTTCAAAGTCACTCAAATCAACTTTCTTCCCCATACTGATGCTCGGTTTGAACTGCAGGAGATTGTCTTGACCATGTCTACATGCCTAAATGCACTGAGTTGCCACCATGTGATTGGCTGCTTAGAAATTAAGTGTTAACGAGCAGTTGGACAGGTGTACCTAATAAAGTGGCCGGTGAGTGTACGTACTGCAGCTTTAATAAAGACAACATTCCTAAAATTCCCAGGCAAATCAAGAATTGAAAAGAATGTAAATGTGTATCTTGAAATGCAATGTAAGTCGCTTTGGATAAAAGCGTCTGCCAAATGCATAAATGTAAACGTAAAATACATAGCTAAAAAAAAACATGACACAAATGACTGATTATTAAAGGCAAGTGAGTAAAAAACAGACAACCCCTGCCCTCGGACACACTTCTCTGCTCACTAACACACTGAGCGTCCTGTAATCAGCAAGCCCTGGTTTGAATCAGATCCACTTCTTTAGACTAGTCTTACCTATTGGAGAAAACTTTTTCCTGTATGTGAACCACAGTCGCGATCGCACATCCGAGAGCAGCTCTGATTTCTCTGGAAGAGATGAAATTATGTTAGTTTTAGTTGAAGGATTTAAGTAACACTATTTTACAGTGTATTTGTTGTACGTTTATCCGTTGGCCGATATATAATCATTATCGGCCAATTAGTTTTTCTGTTTTCCTGATAAGTGACTTTTATTTTCGACACTGCTGAGAATCCAGCGCTTTATTTTATTTGAGAATATATATTTTTTTCTAGGGATGCACGATATATCGGCCACCATATCGGTACCGGCCGATGTCACTTTTTATGTTATCGTTATCGGCCCGATAAAAAAATTCGGCTGATATAATAAAGCTGATAAATAACGTATTATTTCCTCCAGCTGAGACACTTCAGATGCGCACTGTTCAACATGATAGTTTTGAATTGCTTGAAATATGATTGGAATTGCTTCAAAAAAGGAAAATAGAGTAAAGTTCAACATGTGCAGCGCAAAGTCTGTCATATCGGCTACATAAAATAATAATGAGAACATTATAATTGTGTGTTTGGGAAATGGATTTAATGTTGAGACTTTTGTTTTGTAATCAGACTCTCAGAAATGAAATAAAAATTTGGATTTAGATTTATCGTTCAATATATCGGTTATCGGCTTTCAAACATAAAGAATTATCGGTTATCGTATCGGCCAAAATGTTCATATAATCGCTGCATCCCTAATTCGTTCCCAGCGCACACAGACTTGCCAGATCAACGAGGGCACTGTTGGATACAGTGTTTACTCCCTTTTTGTTAAAGGGCTATATTCATAGTTCACATGAAATTAATGCAAATACAACGTTCAGGATAATGCCGAAAGAGCTCACCATGCTCAGCATCGGCCATCAAAATGACCACAGTTGATTACAAGTATTTACTATCGTAATAACAGTAAATTAGGCCTATACATAATTACAAGCAACTAAACCTCAACCAAACCTTAAGGTTAGCACGTGTTGTTAATTAATATTACACAGTACTTACTTGTGTAATTACATTGTAATAAGGACACCTTAAGTGTAACCAAAATGTAATATCTTAATTAGTGGTAAACTAATACTGCTTTTGAGGCTAGAGCAGCTGATATAATACAGTAATAGTGAATGTGTTGAAATATTGAACTGATTTTGCATTATGAACTTGTGGCATGTCTTACGTGTTTTAGCATTATAACATTCTCCCAGGATCCACACTGGCTCGTCTGCATCAGGAAGCTCTTCTAGATACTCGGAAAACTGATTCTCATACTTGGCTAGAACTGGAAAGATTAGAGTTGCGACACATTGTCAACATTGCATTGCTTTCACTTTCTGTCACCATGAAATCCTGATGAAGCAATGGTAATACCATAATAATAACATGTTCATGTACTTTGTATTTGCTGGGTACTCCGAGGTACTTAAATACTTATAAATACCATGGTAAATATCTTCAAAACATGGTATATGTCCACAAACATGGTATTACCACGGTAATTTGTTGATGTCAATGCCAACGACGTATAGAGTAATAACTGTGAACAACAACAACAGGGACTCGTGGAATAAACAAACTCTATTTGTCTGCATTTGTAAGTCAGAGATTCACAGGCCACTGTAGAACAATGAGAAAACTTGAAACTCAGTTACGAAATTTCCTCTGGAAGAATCCTTAGTAGATATTACTAGACTTTTGTCGACGCTTTTATAACTTAAGACGTCACCTGAACATTGTCGGTGGAATTAATCGATACTTTGTAGATCAATTTCGTATTTATTTTAACCATAAATTCCCTACCTGCCTCCATCCTCGGCCGTCATCGGATACAAATACATCGCGGTGCACTGTGGGTAATGTAGTCGAAGTCTGAGTCGTTCCAATAGTTGACGGTGCCATAAAAACTACAATGACCAGATTTTGAGGCTGAGACGCGGAAGTCGAATACTAGTCAATCATAACAAATACTGGGGCTTGTAGTTTATTGGCCCTCCATCTTTTTACGTCATTTCATTTCTATTTTCCAACAACAGAGGCCGGGAAGCAGCGGAAAATATCTTCGAGATATCAATCTGAGGTATTGATTAATCTTCTTTAGTATTATAAAGGAAGTTGGTATTATTGGTAACAGTCGTGCGTTTTGTTTGTTTTTGTTTATTAGCATACTAGCTTGACAAAGCTATTCCGTTAGCTTTTAATCAGTCGTTTGTTTTGCTCATTGAAACACTGCCATGTAATCTAAGTAACGTTACATTTCCCAGCATTATATAACCTTTATTTAATATACTTTTACAATTTATAAAGCTTTAACCTAATATGTGGTCGTTGCATACAGCATCCATCATAAATACTTGCTAAACAGAGATTTAAGGTTCAATTGTGTACTTAGATACGCATTTCTGAGCACCTTTAACAGTGTGCAGTTCATTCGTGGCCTTGTGGTTTGACAAATGATAAATACTGTATGTAACAATAAAAATGCTCCATTAAAATGAGGTCTTAACAGGGCATCCAACTTTTAAGTGATTTGATTCATTATCTTGTGATTAGAATCTGATCTTGATTCAACATTGATTCATTTATCTAAATATCAGGTACAGTAGGGCCTACGTGTTAATTTTCCTCAAGGAAACAAATCTCTCTCAACTAATGCTGTATAAATACAGGGAACTTGTCAGCTGGTCTGTGTTTGGGGTCAGTATGATCCCATTTGAAATTTCCTTAGTTAGAAAACATGGTTCCCTTTATCTCAGTTCCATAAGATTTTTTATTTTTTTTTTTACATAATCTATCTGAACACACACACAAAACTGGACTTGATTTGGTTGTTCTGAAGGTATGTGAATTTTTATACAATCGCTCTAAATGTTTTGGATCATACTGACCCCAAACACAGAGTGTAAACACAACAGGAAATGAACACAAAATGAGGGTTAAAGGTTAAAATTAACAACTAACAATGTTATAATATTTTTAAATGATATAAGAGTAAAAAATATAATAAATATGTAATATAATGCATATATTTAGCACAATGCTCCTCCCTAGAATTAATTTTCTAACTAGAAAATGGATGTGTGGCGTGAGAACAGTGTCCAAGTTTGCATTCAGCGTGAGAGTCGGTAGCCCTGCTCCTAATAACGGCAGAAACATTATAAAGGAATTCGTGAAATATAACATTATGATGTGTCAGGCTGTTTCAAAATGGACTTTTATTTCCAAACCACAGATACCACCAGGTGTAAAATGTCCTACGTGTTCGTGAGCGACTCTCTTCAGGCCACGGTGCCGCTGCTGCAGGCCTGTGTGGACGGGGATCTGGCTCTCAGCAAGCGGCTCCTGGAGTCCGGGGTCGACCCGAACACACGGGACTGCCGGGGCCGGACCGGGCTTCACCTCGCCGCGGCCCGGGGGAACGTGGAGATCTGCTGTTTACTGCACAAGTTCGGTGCGGATCTGCTGGCCACCGACTCGCAGGGCAACACGGCACTGCACATGTGTGGGCATGTGGACACCATCCAGTTCCTCGTGTCCAACGGACTCAAGATTGACATCTGGTCAGTGGCTTTTCATCCATAATTCTGAATCACCATGTTCAGATACCATTGCATTTACACGCTGTTTCAAAAATTTCAACACGCCTACACATTTTAAAATCGATTTCACATTAGTAATGTCATCTAAAGCCGACATGTTCAATATTAAAGTCTCCCTGTGGTGAAAATCAAGCTTTTACAACCCTGCCAAAAACCAAATATTTATATTCTAATCAATTAATTAATCAAATGTATTTAATAATCAACACTCTGATTTCAACAAATATATAAATTGCACATAATATAGTTTTATATTTTTTTTTTTTTATTAACAAAATGTTGTTGTTGTTTTGAAGTAGGGATGCATGATATCGGCCACCATATCGGAATTGGCTGATATATGTTCATTTTTAATGTTATCGTTATTAGCCGATTTATTAAAACCGATAAATAATGGATTATTTCCTCCAGCTGAGACACTTCAGATGCGCACTGTTCAACATGATGGTTTTGAATTGCTTGAAATATGATTGGAATCACTTCAAAAAAGGAAAACACAGCAAAGTTCAACACGCACAGCACAAGTCTGTCATATCGGCTACATAAAATTATAATGAGAATATCATAATGTGTCATGGCTTTTAATGGTGAGACTTTGTTTTTTGTAATCAGGCTCTCACACGATACATATACAAATTTGGATTCAGATTTATCGGCCAATATATCGATTATCGGCTTTCAAATATAAAGAGTTATCGGCCAAAGTGATCATATCGGTGCATCCCTATAATGAAGACAAGTAAAAATGAATAGGCATGTAATGTAATGATCAAAAATGAACAACTTTTTAACACTTGTGTAAATGTGAAAAATAAAAATGATACGTCTTTAGAAAGTATATAATCAAACCCCTGAAATGGAAATTTTATGATTATGGCTTACAGCTTATGAAAACCCCAAATTCAAAATTAGAATATTGTGAAAAGGTTTTCATAAGCTGTAATCCATAATCATCAAAATTATAACAAATAAAGGCTTGAAATACCTCACTTTACATGTAATGAGTCTAGATAGTATATTAGTTTCACCTTTTAAGTCGAATTACTGAAATAAATGAACTTTTGCACGATATTCTAATTGTTCCAGTTTCACCTGTGTATATGCAGGGTTCCTCAAATCCGGCTCTGTAGAGTTGAGCTCAAAGCCAGATCAAACTCGCCTGTACCTGTAATAACTCCAGTAACTCTTGCTCAGGTGTTTTTGATACGGGTTGCAGGGCAGTGGGTCGCGTTTGAGGAAACCTGACATGTAATTGTTTATAAAACGGTTAGTTCCAGTGTCGTGCACAACGCAAGGATTGATGTGGTTTTAATATGTGAACAGTAATCACAACGGAGCGACTCCGCTGGTTCTGGCCAAGAGGCGCGGCGTGAACAAGGACTCGCTCCGCCTGCTGGAGGGCCTGGAGGAGCAGGAGGTGAAGGGCTTCAACCGCAGCTCGCACGCCAGCCTGGAGAAGATGCACATGGCGGACAGTGAGAGGTGAGGGCGCAACCGTTACAGCCACAGCTGAAGGGTCCCCACGTGCCTTTACTGTGGCCACGTTTACATGCAACCAAATCATCCGGACTGAAAAACCTTCACGTAAACACCTTAAAGGGGTGGTTGATTATGATTTCACTTTTCTAACTTTAGTTAGTGTGTAATGTTGCTGTTTGAGCACAAACAACATCTGCAAAGTTACGACGCTCAAAGTTCAAAGCAAAGGGAGATATTTGCTTTTACAGAAATCGCTTTATAAGGACTACAACAAACGGCTGGTAAGAGTTACACGAGCTTCTTCATGGGTTAGTGACATCACTAACCCTAACATTTACATAAACCCCGCCCCCAGAACACGATTTATAGATTATCAAGACAGAATATGCTAATCAATGACTAGAAGATAATGACACGTAAGCTACATAAATTCATCAACTAACCATTCAGAAATGTCCTGTTGAATTCTACATGTTGTCACTTCTTCTTGAGTCTCTCCATCTTTGTGACTCCGGTTTGAACATAAAAGGCTAAAAGTTTTAGAAATTTTCAGTGTGTGTGTGTGAGGTAATTCAGTCCCTCCAGAAAAACGCGATTATGCGATCGCTGAATTCAATGCAAAATCAGCCAAAGTCCGCATATTTATGCGGGGGTCGCATTTTTTCAAATACTCCGTAATTTCGCCGCATAAATTGCTGATTTCCGCGCAAAATATGCGGGGCTTGCATGATTTCATAATCCCCGCATTTTCGTCGCAAAAAAGTCACATATATCTTAGCAGAAAGTTGGAAAATGTTGCGTTTGCTTCACACAAGAGCAGCCGTTTCCCCCTGTTGCCATGGGAACGTTATGAAGTGACGTAATTACGCAACGTGAACATCATCGAAAAGCTGTAAAACAGGAGCACACTTTATTTTAAAATATTTCATTTATTCATTTTTACTGAAGTTGTAGCATATCCCTCTAGTAAAGCTACAGAACTTGTTTGACTCATCAATGTTTTGTAAGTTTGATGTGTTTATTAAGGTCTTGTAACGTGTTGTGTCGGGAAGAAAAATAGGGATAGCTCACGGCTGAAGTTATGCCGCGTTCCAGGCAACCTGTAACCTGTGTTTTTTCCAACTCGTAACTGGGAGTACATCGTTCCAGGCAACCTGTAACTCGTGTTTTTCCAACCTTATACCCGTGAAAGTGCAATGCAACGGCAGTCAAACCCGTGACTTCCCATCCGTGAACTTGAACTAGATCGATGTACTCCCAGTTACGAGTTGGAAAAACACGGGTTACGGGTTGCCTGGAACGATGTACTCCCAGTTACGAGTTGGAAAAACACGGGTTACGGGTTGCCTGGAACGCGGCATTATAGCAGAGGCCAGACAGACTCACGGAGACAACTCGCACTTTAATCCCAAACCGAACTCGTAACTGTCTGTCACACGTTCTACCGTCCACGTCGTTACTTAATAAACAAAATAAGATAAAAGAAGTAGCATCAAACAGAAATTACCCGCACACATGGGGTGTTCGAGGCGCATGGCACATACAATATAATGCAGACAGTTAGACAGGGAGCGCGCAGCTCTTAAAGGGGCCACACCTTATTTCCACTCGATACAGTCTGAAATAAAACAAGATGAGAAATTAAATATTTCCAGAACTTTCTGTGATGTAGTATGTTTGCTTATCATAGGATGTAATAAGAAAGGACTCTTTACATTAAGGTAGTAGCCTAGTGAGAACAGGGTGTTGGGGGGATCACTTTTTTTCCCTCTTTTTCATCAAACCGCAGTTTTTGCAAGTTCCCGCAATTTTTGCAAGTTCCCGCAATTTTTGCAAGTTCCCGCAATTTCATTGCAAAAAATTGCATAAATATCCCGCATATTCCATCGCATTTTTAAAGAAAACGGGCCGCGTAATCAAGGATTTTTGCCCGCAACAATCACAAAAAAACTTTTTTCTGGAAGGACTGGTAATTGAAGCTGCTAAGAACGAGCTCTTGTAGCTCCGTCCCCTGTGCCGGGAGCAGCAGCTCATTTGCATTTAAAGGGACACACACAAAAACGATGCGTTTTTGCTCACCCTCAAAAAGTGACAACCGCAGTAAAGGTGAATTTAGCGTTTTCAGGCGTTTTCCAAAAGTTTCTCATCCACACTGAAATGTCGGAAAAAAATATGAAAGCGCTAGTGGTGGACGCCGAATGTATCCGGACTAATGTAGACATAGCCTGAGAGACAAAGAAAAGAGGAGGCAAAGAAAAAGAGCCAGAGAATAAAAGACACAGGGCAACAGTTGCAATATTCTTGTGACCATGTGACTGTAACCCAAATGTGAGACGTTCAAACTGACCAATCGGATTATTTCAACTTTCCCTGTCGTACTAAAAGTGTGACAATTCGTAGACCCCCGATGTCCACATATCTTGATCACTATCAGCACCTCTTTGTCTTTAGAAATTTCAAATGGTCCTTAAGTAAATGTCTTTGTTCAACTTACAACTCATTCCTGGCTGTTGTGTGTGTGTGTGTGTGTGTGTTACAGTGCCATGGAGAGCCACTCTCTGCTGAACCCGCACCTGCACTACAGCGACGGCGTGTTGTCCAGCTTTCGCACCACATGGCAGGAGTTCGTGGAGGATCTGGGCTTCTGGCGCGTGCTTCTCCTGCTGCTCGTCATCGCTCTGCTCTCGCTCGGCATCGCGTATTACGTCAGCGGAGTCTTACCCTTCGCATCCAACCAGCTGGAGCTCGTGCACTGAAGCCTCGTCAAAACAATCATTCCTAAAATCGCTCATTAGCTGATGAGTGTTCCTACAGGAGCTGATTGTGTATAACCACGCTTCAAACTGCAACCATACATTCTCTCTGTGGCTACATTTTTTTTGTGTGTATATTAATGTAAATAGACCTTATCATGTGCTAATTTTTTGGAAACCCATATGAAAATTAACAATGATTTTACTGGAGCTTGTGCACTGAGGCGCATCAAAGCTCATTAAAACATTGATTCTTAAAATCCTCCTGTGGTGAAACTCCAGCTTTTAATGTTGTTTATGTGTCTATGTGGTGTTTTTAATACGCTTTAAGACTAATCATGTGTAAATTCATAAGTCGACAGCATTGCTGAGTATTTTCTGCTTAAAACTGCAGTGAACCAAAGACAGTCTCAAAAACACGGTTTGAAATCGCTGGTGTTTCTGACGTCACAAACGACCTTGTAACCAATCAGATCAACGTGTGATCGTCAACCAGTGGATCTCTGAGCTGAGGGAGTGAGTGGAGGCGGGGCTCATTTGCATATTCATAGAACCGTGCATACTAAATGAGGCAAGGGTGTCGAGTTACATTCAAGATATTTTAAGGCATGAAGACATTTTTTTTCAAGGAAAAACATTTACATTTGTAATTTTGGTGATCAAAGATTAGTTTTAAGAGATTAAATGATCGATGATTAGCTGATGATTGTTTCTACTGGAGCTGATTGTGTATAAACACGCTTCAAACTGCAACCATACATTCTTTCTGGCGCTCAATTTTTCTTTGGTGTATATTAATGTAAATAGACTTTTATGTGCTAAAAAAATGTCATTTCTTGTGTTTCTTTGGAAACCCATATGAAAGTTAACCGTGATTTTACTATAAATAAAACCAGCGAGTCTGTAAAGTCTTAATTTGCCCTTACACAGATTAAGGCTGGTTAAAATCAGAGCAGAATGAACCTGATAAACCTGATATATTCCAAAAAAAACCTGATATATTCCTCAGTATTTTATGTAAATGTAAAATTAGGTCTTGAAAAATGTAAGACTTTTAAGTGAGTTTATGCTTAAAACAAGAACAAATATCTGTCAAAACTTCTAATTAAGCTTATTTTTCTGAGCCTGTCGGCAGATATTTGTTCTTGTTTTAGTCATAAATAATAATTTTGATAAATTTTCACAAAAAAACAAGACTTCATATTTAATTTCATTTTACATCTCAAGTAAATGTATCTTGATTTAGGAATCTTTAGATATTTGTACTGGAAAATGAGAAATACTGAGATACTGAAATACTTTTTTGCAGTTTGATCAGAAGGTGCTGTAAAAGATATTTCCATATTCTAGTGGTTCTGAGCAAAACGACTCAAGCTTCTTTTTTTAGTAAATGAATTAAAAAGTAACAGATATCAAACTCTGCAGTGTTTCTCCTTAAACATTAAATTTGGAGAACATGTTGATGTATTGTGTTCCTTACATTTTCTTACATTTTCGTTACTAGGTCTTAAATGTACGTTCATAAAATCTACAGAAACACTGAAACTAAAAGAAAAAACATGGTAACCACTAATTAACCATTACTTTACCATGGTATTTGTGTAGTAAAACTGTGGTTATACAAATTTACTACAGTTATAATTAAACCATGAACCTAAAAAAGTGCAATACAAGATGTGTGACATTAATTGGTAAATTTATATCATAATATTTTAAAACATTCAGAGGACTTTTTGTTTTTTTAACAATTTCAGAGAAGAGAAAAAAATCATCAAATTTCACACCAAATAACACTTTGAACATTCGGGGTGAATTTAAGCATTTCTGTTTATGTATATCAAATTTTGCCAGCAATATAAATAAATTAACAATGTATTCAAGACCTTTGTAACATTGTATACATAATCATAATACACAAGAATGTAATTTAATGTAAAATAGTAACTAAATTAAACATAAATGCAGAGTTTAACCTCAACAATGGTGTACGTGGTTCATTACGCATTAGATTGCATACAAATAAACAGACAAAATGTACAAACGCAACATTGCGCTACATAACAATGGTAATCTACAGAAACCGGTTTGTTTATTCATAATAATGACGTGAAATGTAAACACCAGCGCCACCAGTGGGCGGAGCCAGGGCGCGTGACGTCACCGTGTTTGGTCGCGCTCGCATCGTCTGCTCTGATGTGAACGAGCGAGTGCCAGTCAGTCAGTAAACCAGCCTTTCCTTTCCTTTTCACCTCGTTAAACTATGGTCTGAAGAGGAAACCATGAATCTCAGAGGCGTTTTTCAAGATTTCAACCCTAGGTGAGATGTGTGTGTGATTGTTGTACAATGAAACAGTGCTGTGTTTTGAAAACGCTTGTTAGCATAGCTGCTAATGTTCACCGCGCAGGCCTGTTTTGATTTCTCTTAGCGTAGTTTAGCAGCCTCACAGTGATGGAAAGTGCTTTATCATTCAACACTTGACCATAAGTGCCCCATAAGTTGTTTAACCCATTTAATCCCACCGGTCACAATAGTGACCGTAAAAAAATGTTTCATTTCTAAGGCTATAAAAATGTTACTGAATGATCTATCAGTGCATTTCCAACAGATATTGAAATAATAAAGGGTCTCAATGAAATATGTGCAGTGTCACATGTTTACTGTAAATTGTCACATGACCAGAGCTGTTTATTTCCTGTTTGTGCCAAGAGAAGAGGATGGCAGCAAGAAAGCTCCCAAAGAAAAGATCAGTAAAGCATGTTAACATAAAGATAGGACTTAGATTTTTGGTACACATCATGTTTAAGGTGTCTAGTATTGATATATGCATTTGCAATTACTCAACTTTGTTTAATGTGGTCATAGAACTTACAAACATGTCACCGGCAACAATAGTGACCGGTGGGATAACCCATTGTATCTACATGCTAATACACATAGGCTAACTGTTCTACCTTACTTTCTGCTGCTACCTAACTTTCTACCTAATTTTACACACATACACACACACACACACACACACACACACACACACACACACACGCACACACACGCACGCACACACGCACACACACACACACACACAAAGACTAGCTAGCTAACTAATTCTACCTAATTTTCCACACACACACACGCAATTACAGGTAGGCACACACACGCACACCACACACTCCACACACGCACCCCGCACACACCACACACCCCACACACACGTACACCACACAACCCACACGCACCCCACACACACGTACACCACACAACCCACACGCACCCCACACACACGCGCACCACACACCACAGACCCCACGCACCACACACCCCACACACCCCACACACACGCACACCCCACACACACACACACACACACACACCAGACACCCCACACACACACACACACCGCACACGCACGCACACCACAGACCCCACGGACACCAGACACCCCACGCACCACACACCCCACACACCCCACACACACACCACACACCCCACACACACACCACACACCCCACACACACACGCACACCCCCCACACACACAAAAAAGACACCCCCCCCCACACACACCGCACAACCCACACGCACGCACACCACAAACCCCACGCACACCACACCACAGTCCCCACACACAAACCACACACCCCACACACACACCACACCCCCCACACACACACCACACATCCCACACACACGCACACCCCCCCCACACACACACCAGACACCCCACACACACACACACACCAGACACCCCACACACACACACACCGCACACGCACGCACACCACACACCACAGACCCGACGGACACCGGACACCCCACGCACCACACACCCCACACACACACCACACACCCACCACACACCCCACACACACACGCACACCCCCCCCACACACAAACCAGACACCCCACTCACACACACCGCACACCGCACAACCCACACGCACGCACACCACAAACCCCACGCACACCACACCACAGACCCCACACACAAACCACACACCCCACACACACACCACACCCCCCACACACACACCACACATCCCACACACACGCACACCCCCCCCCCCCACACACACACCAGACACCCCACACACACACACACCAGACACCCCACACACACACACACCGCACACGCACGCACACCACACACCACAGACCCGACGGACACCGGACACCCCACGCACCACACACCCCACACACCCCACACACACACCACACACCCCACACACACACCCACACCCCCCACACACACAAACCAGACACCCCACACACACACACCGCACACCCCACACGCACACACACCACAAACCCCACGCACAACACACCACAGACCCCACACACAAACCACACACCCCACACACACACCACACCCCCCACACACACCACACATCCCACACACACGCACACCCCCCACACACACACACCGCACACCCCACACACACACCGCACACCCCACACGCATGCACACCACACACCACAGACCCCACACACACGCACACCACACACCACAGACCCCACACACACACCGCACACCCCACACGCATGCACACCACACACCACAGACCCCACACACACGCACACCACACACCACAGATCCCACACACACGCACACCACACACCACAGATCCCACACACACACAAACCAGACACCCCACACACACACCGCACACCCCACACGCATGCACACCACACACCACAGACCCCACACCACAGACCCCACACACAAACCACACACCCCACACACACCACACCCCCCACACACAAACCACACATCCCACACACACCACAAACCCCACACCACACCACACACACACACCAGACACCCCCCACACGCACGCACGCACACCACAAACCCCACATGCACACCACAAACCCCCCCCCCCCCCCCCCACACACACACACACACACACAGGCACACACACACACACACACACACACACACACACGCACACGCACACGCACACCCACACACACATGCACATGCACACACAAACACACTGCACAGGTCCTATAGACCTATATTCAGTCTGTCTAATGGTAGATACAACACATTATCCCACCGGTCACAATTGTGACCGATCATAAAACTCACTTTTTCACACACTTTTCCAAGAAAATTAAAAAAAATTATGATTGATTGTTTCAAAGGGATACTAATGACACATGATTTGGA